TCACTTTTTGTTTTTAATGGTTTCAATTATTCCAACTTATTACAAATTAGACCAGGGCGATATGGCCAAAAATATTTATCATGAAATATATATCTGAAAATTTGCGATAACGATATAACTGACGATATAATTGATGCGAGACAAAATACAACTCCACAACTTTACTAGCACAAAAAAAAAACCATCCATTTATTTTCACTTAAACAAGAAGCTGTTTTTTATGTGCATTAAAGCTATATAAAAATTTAACAGTACAAATGCAAATTCCTTGCTGAAAGTTTAACCAAAAGGCATTTCCAGTAGAAATGGGCTGACATATCCTGAGCATAACCATGTATAATATCCACTGAAGTTAAAAAGAGGTGCTTTGCAACATTAAACTGCAGTGTGCCAAACAAAAAAGTCAAATACGTATTTTTCGGACCATAAGGTGCACGGGATTATAAGGCACATTAAGCAAAACAAAGCAGTCAGATAAATCAAACTTTATTCAACTCATTCTTCTTGCTTCCTCCACTTCTGTACCTTTGATTCATTAATGCTGTATTCTCTCACAGCTGCTCTATTCCATGTTGTTGCAGTATATTAATGACTAACCTCGTATTGTGGATGGATTATCTCAGTTGTTCTCCTGACTGAAGTTTGGTCCGTTTACAGCATCCTGCCATGTGATTGCATTTGTCTCTAACTATCAGGAACCTTAACGTTAACTTTTATAAGTGGAAAAGTGTTAGTCCTCCAGCTTCACTGTTTATGTTATGCTAACATAGCTGTGTCGCTAGCGATCACGTAGCACATCATTATATACCAGCTAGCCCAACTTCAGTAACCCTACAAACGTCACTGCTGTTTAGTTTCCTGTCTTCATTTATGTTGGAAGTGATAGCAGAGCTGTACGTTTGAATTTTTTCAGAAATCTCTCAGTCAGAACATGCAATATCATGCTTAGGTAACTAGCGAAACTAGCGAGCTAACTTCCGCTAGCTTCCTGCTAACTTCTAACTCCGTTAAATGTAATAAATTCTGTTTTCATGGATGCCTGGAAGTTAAACTTCATAGTTACACCTGGTAAAGCAGCAACACTGATCATTTTATTAAAGATGAAAGAATTTAGAAAGCTCAGAAATCCCACAGAGGCCGCAGGACTCGGGGAACTGAAGAAAAAGAGTTTAGGACCCAGATAACTACCAGATTTAAGAGCACCTTAGTCCAATAACGACGGCCCGCTTGTATGTTCTACAAAAAAATGTGCTTTGTCGTGTATCTGACGGACAAACACCAAACCAGTTCCGCATCACTGAAGTTGCACCATTTTTACAAACCAATTCTGGTTCATGTTTCACTCAACAATCAGCCATGTGCGTATGAAAACAAAGGCACTGCGCATGCGCGTTTTACCCATATTCTATCGTGATTTTTCATTTTCTTATCGTTGCTTAACATTGTACCGGTATTACTGTGAACGGTATAATATGGCCCAGCCCTATTACAAATGTCTATTTAGTTTCTGTTTTTATTTAACTTATTTTCTTGCTTTTAAAACATAAAAATATTATTATATTTTCAATAAATAAATTTGCACAGTTTTCCTGAGAGAATGCAGGCTCTCATTCTAGATTACGTAGGGTGAAAAGTATGGACTCTCCACAGATTACCAGTCCAGCACAGGACCACCACAAAGACAGACGACCATGTCACATCTATGGTCAATTTATATAATCCAAACTTGTTGGGGTGCAGTAGGTACGGATATGGCAGCTAGTCAATAAGCAATAAGCAGAGGACCAGAACCGACCTTCTAAAAGCACGACAATGAAAATGCAGAGTAATTTAGCAGTATACTTCTAGAGCTTGACAAATTATTATTACCAAATTACTAAACATGGAATAACTTTAATGTGTGATTTTAAAAGGTTTCTTAATCATGAACCCTGTCAGGATGATCTTTAAACTAACAAAAAGGGATTTTTTTTTTGTTAATTAAATTGGCTTATATGTGACCTGTGTGACCCCAGCACAGTTTAACACTCCTGCATTTCACATGCACAGGATTATTCAGGATGAGCTCATTAGTTAGTGACTGACATGTCACTGGCCAATAAGCACACAGTTTCACGGTCAGATCCAACATCCATATACAAAGATGACAGTGATGGAAGGGTTCATCTTCAAAATGATATTTCAGAAACCAGCAGCAACATCCATCTTATATACTGTGTATGGCACACACTTCAGGGGGACGACCGGTTTATTAAAAATGTGATTAACAGTTTGGCTGCTAAATTCTTATTTATTATATAGTTTTGCTTCATTTTTAGCATTATTATGCTTATTGTAATCCTTTGATCATTTATTCATCCACTGCTTATCCAACTTCCCTGGACCCAATCCCAGCTGGGTGAGCAAACAAATTCCCATCCACATCCAAATCCGATTTACAATCACCAACCTAACCTAAGATCCAAGTCTTTGGACTTTGGGATGAAACCTTTGGAAGAACAGGAAGAGCATGAGCTCAAACAGAAAGGCCAGCCACAAAGTTTCACCTTGAAGCCATTTTTTTTTCTGAGAGGGGACAGTGCTAACTGTTGTACCACCACGCCATCACTTGATTGGCTAGTTAATTAGTCTCTGAAAGGTTGAAAGTGGAGCACCTGGAGGAGACCAGTGCAAGGAACTACAACAGGGATTACTCGGTCCCCGAGCTATTCAGCTGCTTATCAAACATTTTGTACTCACCAAGCATATAAAGTTAACTATTTGTCGGCCTCTGTAGTAGTATGGCACCATCACTGTCCTCTAGAGTCAGATGATTTTCACTAGTCCAGATGCTGACTAACAGACACCATCCCCGTGAGGCAAGCAGGTTGAGTCCTGTATAATTCACACAGCCTTAAAATACACCGCTATCTCTGTAGAACTACTGCTGCCAGTAACCTCGCCCTGTTCTCTCATATTGGTGTGTTTAGCAAAGCCAGTAGAAATTCTTTCAACTTTATCAGTCATGGATAAAAATCTGAGATGACAAAAAGAAAACAAAATGTATTTATATGGAAATGATTTGGGTGATCCGGCGTCTAACGACGAACAAGGGAAATGTAAATGTGTCTTGTACGGTGAACAAAAGAGACGTTCGTGTGCAAAACCTCGACAGAATAAATCCAATGCTTCGCTAAGTTTGGAGCAAAGGAAAGGAGAGACACAAAAAAGGGAACCTGCAGCACATCTGAAAATGTCAAACAAAATGGGACGAGATGGGGTCTCTTCAAAATGCCAACGGAAGCAGGAGGAGCGGCGCCTCAGTGATGCTTTCAACATGCACCTCCTTCAAATCCCATCTGGGTTTGGTACTATATTTTTAGGTGGCTGGTTAAATTTCGTTGTGCGAGAACGCAACGGTTATAACTTGAGCCAATAGCTGCCTGTTGCCATGACAACAGGGCCTCGGCTTCTTCTGAAATAAAGCCGAGGCGCGAAAGATTAGAGAAAGCTACAGGGGCAACCCCCAGACAGACAGAGGAGGGAATGGCTGGCAGTGAACACAACCATGTCAGCATTAAAACATGTTAAAAACACAACAGCCTTAATAAACACAGAGTAGTTTGGACCTGGAAGCAGGGTTCATCACATCATCTCGGTATAAAGAATAATAATCATAAATATAGAAGAAATGTCAGCACGAAAGAGATTGCTGAAAGTACCGAGAGGGACATGATGTGACAAACACAAAACAAAAACAACAAGACTGACGAGGGAAAAAAAGGCCCAACGCTTTTTTTCCCTCCTATCGGCTGGGACTGCAAATAAAACTCCACGGCATGACCGCACAGTTTTTAATATGTGACCACACACAAGCATAAATGTGGGCAACGACGTCTGACAATGCACTCATGACAGACAAGACACGGCTAATGATTTTGCTTTTCTCTCCAAATCCCACTGACATGACCGGGAACCCGGTGATGAACTAGAACCTAGGGCTGGGCGATATATCGAGTTTTTTAAAAATATCGATATATTTTCATACGAGATATAAGATGTGACAATATCGTTTATATCGATATAGTCTATGTTACGTTATAATTATACTTGTGGAGCCGCAGGTTTGCCTCTCTTTCGTCCACTTTTGTCTCTACGCAACGTTACTCGGCCTCGCCTCTCCTTCACTGAACACAACTCCCCCTCCCCCATAGCTTCACCTGCAGGCAACGACAAGATGAAAGCGGAAAATCTCCGTTAGCGAGTTACCGTGCGTGGGGCTGGACGGCGTCAACGTGTTAGCGAGCTAACCGCGCTAACGACATGCAGCCCACAGGGGCTGCACGGACTAAAATCCTTGCATTTTCTCAAAAATCGACAGTGCGCCTTATGTATGAATTCTGGTTGTGCTTACTGACCGCGAACTGATTTTATGTGGAACACAGCGCTCAGCAATCTGTCAAAAAATGTTTTAATATGACTTTGCTAAGCTACGGAGCTGCACCGCTTGATGGATTGTCGGAGGAATACGGCTACCGAGGAGGAGCCTCGCGGAGTGATACGTACTGTGTGTGTATAAGGACCACAAATGGCACCTGTTCAGAGACGTGGTGCAGCTGTGAAATCTGTCTTTGTTATTATGCTCAGCGTCTATTAGTTTACATTATGACTGCACAATTGTGAGCTTTTTGTTATGCACAAAAACAACATTGTTTTCTTTTATTTATGGACCATGATTATTTAATAAATGCTGATAATTTATTTTTGAGTAATATCTACGCTGTATGTAAATAAAAGTGCCCGTGTGACAGCTGGGACACAGTGTGACTAAGAACTCTCTTTTTGTTCTTAACTTATGGCTTTAAAAAAAAAAAAAATCGAGATATATATCTTATATCGCTATCCAGCTAAAAAATATCGAGATAGGAATTTTGGGTCATATCGCCCAGCCCTACTAGAACCCCAACTAAACCACATGAGCCGGGGATGACTGCATACACAGAGAGTAAAATTGGTCTTACCTTCATAAGAACTGACTCACTGAGCTTTTCTCTGTTGACAATCTTTATGGCAACTTTCTGGTTTGTGACACAGTGGACACCCAGCTTCACCAGACCTGAAACACAAAAATGTAAATAAATTTCACATCAGTCGTCATTTCTTCATATTCTGAGTCACACTTGGAATATGCAAACTCATAACAAAAACATTTGAACAGAGGTTTTCATGGCAGGACGAAGTCTAACCATAGCTGACCATCATAGGAAGAAAACCCCGAACAATGAAGACGATGTGAGCAAGCACTTGATGGCAGTAAGATGGAAGAACTCCCTTTGAAGCAGGAACAGACCTGCATCAGGAAGGGGTTTCTATGAACCGCTGTGGGTGGGGATAAGGTTGGGGTTGTTGTGTCACACAAGTCCTACATAAAGTTTTGTTAGACAATGTAGTCCGTAACTTTCTGAAGCAGATGTACTCAAGGTGCCCTTTCCTAAGTTTAGTTCTCAAAGTCTTACCTTATTTTATCTGTTTTTGAAGAAACGAGTCACAAAGAATATAAAACAAATAATTTGTTTTGATGTATTTCAGAACAAAGATGAAAGAAAACCACAAATCCTGATACAGGATTTTTGTTTGCATAGTTTAAAAGGAACGATTTATAATACTACACACTGATCCCAAACCACACAACTGCATATTAACATTACATATAAATATATACATTTAAAAAAATAATGCATAGAATCAGACATATCTGTTTCTTTCACCAGAGTATAGGAACAAATAAGCCCACTTCAGAATCAGAATCAATTTCTTCAATATTTTGAGTTTTAGGATTTTACCTATGTTCTTGTTCTAGTTCTGTAGTTCTGCTGGTACTGCTGGTATTTTATTGCAGCACTGGTTCTGTTGCCTAACACAGCGGTTCCCAACCCCTGGGCCACGGACCGGTAGTGGTCTGTGAGTCGTTTGAGGCTCGGGTGTGAAATTGATGGTTTTCAGGGTTTTTATCGTAAACTGGGTTTCCCTGGGTCTTTTTCCGTGTTGTAGTCGTGTGTCTTATTTTGAAAGAAATATCTGCGCGTTACCATAGCGACCAGAGCGCATTAAGGGGCAGAGAGGAGGACGTTACTCTCAATGTTGTTGGCGCATTTCAGGAGGACGCTGCTAATAAAGTTACACAGTTAATTCACGTTTATTATTATATTTACAAATTACCACAGTTTTCGTATTGGTCATATCATTTTATTTTGTTGTATTTATCGGCGACACCTTAAAGGACGTTCTGTGAAAATATTGTGTAATAATAATGGATTGCATTTATATTGCGCTTTTCTAGGCGCTCAAAGCGCTTTACAGTTCCACTATTCATTCACTCTCATATTCACACACTGGTGCAGGCAAACCACAGTTGTAGCCACAACTGCCCTGGTGCAGACTGACAGAAGCTGCCATATCGCGCCATCGGCCCCTCTGGCCAACACCAGTAGGCGGTAGGGTAAAGTGTCTTGCCCAAGGACACAACGACCAGGACAGAGAGAGCTGGGGATCAAACCGGCAACCTTCCAGTTACAGATGAGCTTCCCAACCCCCGAGCCACGGTCGCATTAAACCACTCTGTGGCGCAAAAAAGGTTGGGGACCGCTGTATCAGAGCATTGGTTCTGTTGCCTAACACATTCATTGACATAGGATCTGGAAGGAATATCTCTTTTATCCAAACAACAACTACTGCAACTGGTTACACATTAAAAGAAATATATGATAATTAATAACACACTAAGACCCAGTAGCAGACTAAAAGTGAAGTTAATGATTCTAGTTTGCACATGTATAGCTGGCTTTACTACAAGCTGATATAAACTCAGCTTTGTTAACCACATGGATAAAAATGTCACCGGCTTACACCTCCCAGGTTTCTTTATCACTGTGTACTTCTGAGAGCTGCCCTGATGTTATTCCACCATTCCAACAGAAATGTCAACACATACTACCTTTATCTTATTACAGTCACAATGACTCCATTCATCTTTATCAAAGCTCTGACACCAGGGGACTATATTTTACTTTGTGCTGAAGGTCTTCAGACAGCAGTGGAAATGCCACTGTGCATATGCACCTCTTTATTACGTGGCGCTGCATATATATTTCACAGGAGATGAGTGTGTCACTATTTGAAAGGTGATTTCCCTGCGGTGGTTCACAAGGAAGCGAGCGGAGCCGCGAGCAGCGGGGGTCTCTGGGCCAATATGGCAGCCTGGGGGCTCTTTTATGTCACCAGTTAGAACTGAAATGGCTTCCTGCGTGACATTCGCCGAGTCTTATTGATCTTGCTGTCAGAGAGGCTCGAGGACGACTACAACTGCTTGCCATAATTCAGGACTAAGAAAGCCCTATAAAGGTTGCTCTGTATGAACACATTCAACCCAACAAGTTATGATAGGTGCTATAGAGGAGAGTACTCTGTGAGAGCTGAGCAGAAAATAGCAAACTAGGAAGCAGAGATACTGTACCTACAGCTTATATGTCTTGAATCAGCTATTGCGTGCTTTTAGAGAATTATCATTTTTATTTTTAATGTGAGCATCAAGCAATTATTGTTCCACTTGCACAGCATCATAAAAGGGCTCATGACTGGCGCTGAACATCAGAGGAAATAACCACCAACTTTGGTCTTTTTGGTAGGGCTGTGCGATATGACCAAAATCTCATATTTCGATATACGACATTTATTGTCCCAAAAACGATATAAATCACAAAAATGTTAAATTTTCTGTAAATTCTGTGAATCTCAGCCAACTCGACTCGAAGTGTTTCCAGCTGGGCGTCACGTACCTGGAGTCGAGTGTTTTGACCAATGCATGAAACTGTACATTTTTAAGGCACAAGTTGTAACGGCCGCCATTGTCTTTGTGAGTATTTATTACACGCCGTGCGTCGGGGAAAAGTCTGTTCTAACATTTGGAGCGCCTGCCGGCTCTTTTTTTTTGCTTCTCATCCGTAAACTCTCTGCACACTCTTTCACGTGATTCTTGCGTCGGTGGTAGAATTTAACACGCGTTTGTAATGACGCTAGTTCAGTTTACAACAGGGCTCATTCGCTCGGTCAGCAGATGGCGGTATCCTCGTACACTGGGGAGTAAACTGCCATTAAACGAAACAGAAGAAGAAGAAAACATCTGCACATGCGCAGTAAGGATCGGGGAGTCCTGATCGGGGAGTCCTGATCTTTTTATTTTTCGTTTTTGTCTACATTATACTGAAAAGTTTCATTATTGCAAACATTTTAAGAGATACTTGTTATTCTTAACATCTTAACAGATACTCTGACCTGTAACTATCGTAAAATGCTTTGAGCGGAAGTAGTGGCCTTTTGCACATGCGTGGTACCGATCGGGTTTCCGGTACAGATCGGGTAGTGACAGGTCCCACACGCTGATATTACCGTCGTTGTTGCTAACGGCAACACGTAAAAACAGTCGCTTGTCCGTCCATAGTGTGGTTATTTTAAATATAAGAGAAAAAGAGAACTTTAAGAAATTAATATAGCCGCTACACTGACCATCAAAACCATGAAAAAATAAACAGTTTATTTTGCGACAACATGAAACAAACGATAGCGTGATATGAAACGATAGACGTTTTTATATCGTCATCTGATATATACCGTTATATCAAACAGCCCTACTTTTTGGTACAGTGATAACAAAGAGAAACATCCAAAGTAAAAGTCAGGAGAAACTCCCATCAAATAGTCCTAAAAAATTAATAAAGATGAAGAAACCAAACAAACACGAAAACTCCACCAGGTAAAACAAGCAAGTCACAGGTTTAGCATAACTATGCGCTGTAGTAGTAGTAACCAGTGACAACTGGCGATGACCAAGCAGAAATCATAACTACGACTCTTTGCAGTCTGTGGAAAATCACACCTTTACTGCTTTTGTAGAGGTTAAGAGGTTAAGTAGCACCCAGGTGCTGCCAATCAATTACACTTGATTACCTGATCATCCGCCAGTATGACCACTGAGTTCTAGAAGTTAGTTGGTTTGGAGCATTCACCACAACCAGTACAGTGAATGCCCCACGAACTTCACCTTAAGGTCAGACTGTGCAATGGTCAGACAAATGGTAAAAAAGCCAAGACCTACATGTCAAAATCTAACATTCATAACTAACCTCCAGGCTTTGTTATCATACAATTAGAAAAGGACTGAGTAAGCATGGCTGGTTTAAGGTAGATGTCTTCTTTTTCTCTAAAAAGATGTGTGAGATTTCAGGTCTGCCAAGCTACATCTGAATAAACCACAAAACGTCTTTTGGACAGACAAGACCACAATGACGTCTGGTCATAACATACAGCGTTATGACCATAACGCACGGCTTGTTTTTCCACCGCATGTCCAGGGCACATTGAGGTAACCGAGTCAACCTTCAACTCCTTTTTATCCCAAAGCAGAGTGACATGCATGCGTCTGTTCAACAGCTAAAGCTTGGCTCATTGGGCCATGTAACAGGACACTGTTCCCAAGCACACCAGAAAATCTACAACAGAATGGCTGAAAAACAAAAGAATCAAGGTGGTACAACTGCCCGCTAAAAGTCCAGACCTCAACCCAACTGAAATGCTGTGGAGGGATATTTGGAGAGCTGTGCATACAAGAATGCCCACAGTCCTAAATGAACTCAAACAATGACACAACAAAGAGTGGGCTAAAATTATGTGAGAGACTGATAAAGGCATATAGGAAATCGTTACATCAAGCTATTGTAGCTAAATGTGATTGTAAAAGCTACTGAATCACAGAGTGTATTCCATTTTTTATGTTTTCTGACATGGAGTACCTCAGAATTGAAGATGTACTTTTTTTTTTTACCTTGACTGTACAGAGCAAACCATCTCCTGCATTGTAAAGTTCAGCACAGCAGTGCTATAAGAGAATGTCCCACAGGTTGTGGATCATCTTCCATTATGGAGGGTTACCTTATAATGTAGGCATTTTTCTTACATTGCCACTGAACTGGTCTTGTTCCACAAAATAAAAGAAAGTGAATGCATAATGCATATGTTGAACAGGAGCAGGAGCAATGCAAAATGCATTATTCCAAATTCATA